AACATTGGCTGAAGGATTCAATACTACGAATCTGATTCGCTGCCTTTGGCATCTTGTCTGCTCTCTGGGTGTGAGGCAGAGACGGGACTTAGGCAGCTACACACACACAGACACACACAGACAAACAGTGACAGCGGAACTGAGCATGGGCGATTACCTGCGTCTGTCCTTCTTCAGGTCAAGTCATATATTTGTGTAAAAAGCATCTGTTTTCCATCAGTTGTCAGAAGATGAACACTATCTTTGTCGCAGTATCCTTTCAGTGTTTAAGGGGATTTCCCATGGCTGCATCAGTGCTGTTCAGTGCGTTGAATCAGTGCTAGGGTTGCCAGCCGTTCTGTAGAATACGGAATCGTCCCACATTTAAGGCATCTAAGAAGCGTTCCTTATGAAAGCCGTACGGAACGCAGTTTGTCCTGTATTCGCAGGCATACGTTGTATGACCACCAGACCATACGAATAACAAATTCTCAATTTATAATTAATCATTCTTTTATTTGCGGATGCAGCTGTTTGAGGAAGGCTTTATGACCAAGCAGAACCCTCTGCCGGCTGGTCGCTCCCTCTTCACCCTAATCAGTGCCAATGATCTCTATGAAGTGAAATATCAGCTTCAGCATTAACAAGGTGATGTGTTGATCGTCAATTGAGCCTTGTAAATTAATCAATTTCGACACAGTTTGATTCATGAATGAATCAGCGTTTTTAAGTGTATTCGTTGAATGAACTGATTCATAAAGAAAGTCCATTGTCGTCACCTACTGGCTGAACAGTGTAACTGCACTGACAGCCTGTCACCTTATGGGTTGCAGTTATGTTCAGTTTGACATTGTTTTGTGTTAGCTCCGTTTTTAAAGGCCTATTAAAATGTTAATTGTAAAATGAATATTTGTTGTGCTTATTTATTTGATTCTCAATTAAAACAACAATATACTGTAAATAATATAAAGCGAAGTATTTTATCTAAAAAAAAAAAAAAAAAAAGGTTAGCAGTCAACGGAGAGCTTATATATCACTTATATAAAGCTAAAATGATCGGTATCGGCCAATCATGATGAAAAGAAATCAGTAGTCTGTATCGGCTGCAAAAATCCTGATCGGAGCATCACTGGAGCAGACACGTCACAACACACAGTAGATGTAACCGGGATCATGACAGACACGAGTGTCTGTGATTGAGTTTGGCTGTTCTGCAGCGTTTCATCTTCACGCTCCGCTTTACAGCAGAGATTTAATGTTTGTGCTCAGATGATAAGGACGTTGTCACATGGCTTTAACTGTGTAAACGGTGTTTGTGTGTGTTTAGGAATTCCCCTGTTCTCGTGTGAGGTCAGAGATGGACTTGGTCGTGTGTGATGAGACGTGTCGAGAGTTACAGAAGAAACATGCAGAGGTAACACACACATACACTTGTGCACATACTACACTAACACAAACTCCAAATAAAAAACATTTTCTTATCTTTTGTCAGATTTAGTTCACAATGCTGTCCCTAAAGTAACTCACACACAGTGTAGAGCGACACAGGAACTGTTGTCATGGAGAAGGGCCATAAAATCCACTGCTGGGTCATTGATTCTTTTGGCTCAGACAGAGAGAGTGTGAAACTTTAAAACAGCAAACACACACACACACACACAGACACTTTTTTCCAACCCAGCTGAGAGGTAATGGACAGATTCCATTTCACACACACACAAACACAAAGAGAGCCATCAGCTCAGTGGGAAACTTGGAGAAACAGTTACTGGACAATTAGTTTTGTGTGTGTGTTTCAGGCTTGTGCAGCAGAGGAAAGAGCCGCTCTGGAGGAAGAAATGAGAAAACAGCAGGTGAGTCGAGAAACGCATGAATGTCATTGAGATCTGAAAAATTACTGGTGGTCTGAAAAGCTGCTCACTGTTTCAGAGGCTCTTTAATCAGTTCTCCCTCACATCTCAGCAGGTTAGTGTGAGGATGGTTATGGGTGGTTTAGTGGATATCAGGATCTATGATGTCCGTTGTGGTTATGAGAGCTGCTCGCTGACGTAGCCTCTGAGAGAGAGAGTGTGTGTGTGTGTGTGTGTGTGTGTGTGTGTGTGTGTGTGTGTGTTTCAGGCTGAGCTGGAGGCATTTGAGAAACGACAGAAAGGACGGAGGAAGAAGAACAGGAAAGTCACTGAGGTGGAGACAGAGGAGGGGGTGTGGCACAGATATAAGCTCCGCCTCCTGATGCCCATCTGTGGCATCCTGTTGGCTGTGGCGGCGTTCTGTCTGCTGCAGCTGACCAATCAGGAGACGGACAGTGAACGTACCTCAGCAGCTTCCTGAATGTCAACAGTATTTTCTTTCAGTTTTGTAAACTAAAACTTTTTTTCACCCATTAATTGACTTCCGTAGATAATTAGAATGCTAGTTATATACATGTCTGCATATGATTATTTAGTCTTCACACAATGGAAGCTGTGATTTTCTGATTGACTGTGCCTCACTTTTATTAAAACTGCTAAGTTAATTTAAAGTGTCATGATTTTATTTCTATTATTAAGAGAATACAATTCCATGGGTGACATTTGGGTGATGTAACCTTATCAACTTGAAAAATAAAGGCTTTGTGTTAGTGATGTATGTGACTGATGTGCTCAGAGTGGTTGATTAAAAAAAGTTGTGATGAGACCATAGACTGTATAAAAAAATGGAAGTAGTGTCCATGACGTCACCCGTAGGTTTCCGAAGAGCGTTGTTGAAGCCTAAAGTAGGAGGAGCCGGCTGTCGCCATCTTGGCAGCGCGTCACTCCCGGATAATCGAAAATGGGCAAAGAGGCGGGAGCTGGTTGCTGAAGCCACGCCCACCTAGCTCGACGGCGGTGACAGCAGTGGCAATCCACCTGTCACTCAAGTGGCCACGCCCTTAATTATGCAGAATTTTAAGGCTTAATATAATTTAAACGGATGAGTTATAAAAAAATTCCCCCTCACAGTTGTCATGAAGGGCACAATTAACTATATAGACCAAAACCACTTTTTGTACCAGGCTGTAGACTTTTTTTTTTCTGCAGTAAAGTTCGGCATTTTAACATGGGGAGTCTATGGGACTGACTCTCTTTTGGAGCCAGCCTCTAGCGGCCAGTCGATGAATTGCAGTTTTAGTCACTTCCGTGTTGGTTTCACGAGAGAGAGCAGGAGGTTTCCGCTTGGATGAGACTCGATGGGCTCGAAGTCTTCAAGAATCTGCTGGTTGCACTTTCAATGCAAATACAAAAATGGAAGTGGGAAACTGGAGCAAAATGTAGTTCCATAACAATCGTCCATATGACGTGTCTTACAGTAGAAGAACCCTGCTAGCACACGTCGATCACGGAGACTCTATTTGACGTCTATTTTACATCTTCTAGAGGTATTTTTTAGAGTGTTTGCTCATCTGCTATACGTCTATTGGACGTTTCCTAACAGATGTCAAATAGATGTTTAGAATATGCCTTTAAGATGTTTATGATGTAAAACTGACATCTTACAGTCATCTATCAGATGTTTGTACACAGCAGATGCTTTCCAGATGAAGCAATCTTTAACAGACCTCTTGCAGATGTACCTGTGCTATCTGGGAACAGACTGAACCGCTGACGAACCAGATCAATCTGAATTATTCAGATCAGACTTCTGACTTCATGAATTGGACATCGTTAATTCTGAATATCAAGATTTTCTTCCAAATGTTTTTGAACTATACATATATATAAATGCACACACTGTACTGTATATTGGCAGATATAAACATGTTACAATGGTAGATATTGTAAACAGACTTTGACAATTATGAATATAAGCAGAATAATTGCAACATAAAAGTGGAGATACGGTTAGAAAGCATGAAGCTCGCGCTGAGAGAATGTCAGTCTGTCAGTCAAATCCGAATCAAGACGTGACGCGTTATAACAACGACAGATAAAAGAAAATGCTAAACGAGTGAGCGATCGTTACCCAGAGAATGTGCTTATGTGAAAATTATACACCGCCTTATAGGTAACATATATGGAAATATCACTCAGTATAGAGCAAGCAATATATGTCATATATATTACATGTCCTTATGGGTATGCAGAAGGTCCAGCTCTATGGAAGACTTTTTTTTTAACTTATTTTTTATTCATTAGCAGATTTACACGAGGAAAATCACAAGCAAAAGAGTCAGCAATATTCATAGTACACCATTTTTAAAGGGGTCATATGATGCGATTTCAAGTTTTCCTTTCTCTTTGGAGTGTTACAAGCTGTTCATGAATAGATAAGATCCCTAAAGTTGCAAAGACTAAAGTCTCAAACCCAAAGAGATATTCTTTATAAAAGTTAAGAGTCAGCCACGCCTACCTAAAACACCTCGTTTAAACACACCCCCACATATCTACGTCACTATGTGGGAAGATTTGCAAAACGCCGCCCAAATGTTCACGCAAAGAAAGAAGGCGTAACTTTTATTCTCGCTGTAGTATTGTTGCTGCCGCCGCCATGTCGTGAAGATGCTGTGTGTTTTGTGTTACTCGTTGTCGAAATCATACTCTAGATTTAATACTGTCACATGGAATTGATGTTGATGGTGTTGAAATTATGCAGCCAAGCGATTATATCTCAGATCATTATTTAGTCTTGTGCAAACTTCATATAGCTAAAACTGTAAATTCTAATCCTTGTTACAAGTATGGTAGAACCATCACTTCTACCACAAAAGACTGATTTGTAAGTAATCTTCCACACACACACACACACACACACACACACACACACTCTCTCTCTCACACACACACACACACACACACACACACACACACGCTCTCTCTCTCTCTCTCTCTCTCTCTCTCTCTCTCTCACACACACACACACACACACACACACACACACACGCTCTCTCTCTCTCTCTCTCTCTCTCTCTCTCAGTGTAGTCGGGTGGAGATATAAATGAGCGCGCGGGACTCGCTCGTCAGTGTGGCGCGGGTTGCTCGTGCTCAGACAGACCGATACGTGAGAATAAAATAAACAAACTGAGTTATAAATGAAATAACACAATAGAAGAATAGAGAGGGAGAGAGTGGGTGTTTGCGATGGAATCGGCTGCAATGAACTTTCAGTAAGTATTCAGTGAGTCGTTCTCTCTCTCGTGTGTGTGTGTGTGTGTGTGTGTGTGTAAGAGTTTGTGTCAGAGTTGAACTCATGCACTTTAGTTTTTCTCTTTCCGTCCCTATAAATAACTCACTGGTGTGTGTGTGTGTGTGTGTGTGTGTGTGTCGGATTCTCCTGCACTAGCTGGAAACTCTGAAGCGAAACATACCTGGGTATAAATAGCCTGTGCTCTGCTCGCGGTGTCTGCGGCTCTGATGCTCCGGATCGTCGCTGATTTCCAGCCCGTTACCGGTGAGACGCGCGCGCACGCGATCAAACTTCACAGTGTCATATCTGAAATGTCATTTCTATTCATTACGACTGTCGTTATAGGAACATTTACCGTTATGACTGACTCTGATATTAGCTGTTGTTATGAATGTGATTCAGCTGAATATCTGGCTCTTAAATTCTGTTATCAGAAGTCCTGCTGATACACAAACTCACTGCAAACTCTCTCTCTCTCTCTGTGTGTGTGTGTGTCCTCAGGTGTGTGTGTGTCAGATGAGCTCATCATGGGTGAAGCGTTCACACACACACAGCGCTGCGGGAAACATCTGCGACTGCTGCTCTTCATCCTGCTGCCATGTGTGTGTGTCCTCATCTGTGTGTGTGTGCTGCTGGCGCTCACAGGTAACACACACACACACTCTCTCACACACTCTCTCTCACACACACACACACACACACACAGACACACACACACACACACACACACACAGACACACACAGACAGACACACACACACACCGAGCGGATCCGTCAGCCTGCTCTCAGCCTGGACACATTGAGTGATGAGACAAACAAGTGTTAAATAACAACTGTGACACACACACACACACACACACACATGTGTGATTGGAGCATCTTCACTAAGCTCTTGTGGCATTTGTCCGTGTATCTCTGTGATTTTCAGGCTGTTATGTCTAATTTTGTATTGTGCCAAATGAGTCACAACATCTCTGAAAAAGAGAAATCTGCAGCGACGAAACCCACACGTTTGTGCAGTCTGTGTGTGGGCTTGACTCTGTTGTGCGCTTCTACAGGTCTGACTGTACTTGTGAGGTCCAAAATGTCCTCAATAATATCTAGTTAAACACTAGTGAGCCGGACCTCACTAGTTATAAATCAATCAAATCATGTTTGTATTGAAATCTAGTGCTTTGCACAGGTTTCTGAGAGGGTTTGTTTAGAGTGAAGAGGAAATATGACTGACCTGACAGAGAAACAATGGAAGTCTATGAGATGAGCCACTAATACAGTCAAACATGAATGAGTGTGTGTGTGTGTGTCTCTCTGTGTGTGTGTGTGTGTGTGTGTGTCTGTGTGTGTGTGTGTGAGTGTGTGTGTGTGTGTGTGTGTG